CCATAGCCACCATAGCCACCATAGCCATAGCCACAGCCATAGCCACAGCCTAGGCCGCCATAGCCATAGCCCAGGCCACCAGAGTAGCTGCCATAGTAGCACATGGTGTCAGGAGTGAATTATGCAGTTGAGGATCTGGAAGTTTGTTTCGTGGTGGTCTGGATGTCACTGTCTGCAGGGGCCTTTTATACCCCCTTGGTGGTGGGCGGGGAAGCCGCAGGCAGTGCATCATCCTCTCATCTGACCAGTGAGCTTCAGACAGTGTCATAAATATGTACTTATTGAGAAAACAGGGCCTTCATAACTGAGATGATTTTATTCTTGTGATCAAATTATGGGCTGTTTAAATGAATTTCTTATCCTATTTTTAAGAGTACTTTATCCTATATTTAGTTAATTGTTTATATATGACCTGATTAATGTTGTGATGCAAATTGTGGCTATTAGGTGGTTCATTTTTATTTTTATTTTGTTTCAATTTCTGCACAGGAACAAGTTTGTTTCTTTTCCTCTGCCCTCTTTATCTCCCTCTCACTTCTCTCTCTCTCCCTTCCTTTCTTTCTTTCTTTCTTTCTTTCTTTCTTTCTTTCTTTCTTTCTTTCTTTCTTTCTTTCTTTCTTTCTTTCTTTCTTTCCTTCCCTTTCTTTCTTTCTCTCTCTTTTCTTAATTCTCTTCCTTTTCCTTAATTCCCTTCCCTCTCCTTTCCAGTCTTGCACTTATTTCCTAATTTTAGCTCACAATGAGTAAGCTATGCTATGGGTAGTTGGTGGAAGTTTCTATCATATTTGTATATAGAGGACATTTAAGCTGAGTAAATAAAAGGGCATTTTATGGACAAAACCTCTATGCTTGTCCTTGTTGTCCTTCATAAATATATCATAGATGTAACAATGAAACACATTAAAGTTAGGTGGGTGCTCCATCTGCAACTGTTATGTCCCTTTTCACAAAATCAGAGTTTACCTTCAACCTCATGAATGGCTTATAGGGGGGCTGGGGATTTAGCCCAGTGGCAGAGCACCTGCCTCGCAAGCTCAAGGTCGTGAGTTTGATTCCCGGTACCAGAAAAACAACAACAACAACAACAACAAAAAAAACATGAATGGCTTATAGGTACAGCAAGGACATTTATTTTTAAGTGTGGGAGAGTACAAGAGGACTCAAAGAAGGTGCAAAATCCTTTCTGTTTGCTCAGCTTTTAGGCAATAGGTGCAGTATTAATAGAAATGGAGATATTGAGTCATAGACATGTTTTGTGTATTGCTGTAAAACTTTGAATTTATTAAATGTAATTTGCGGGGCTGGGGATTTAGCTCAGCGGCAAAAGCGCCTGCCTGGCAAGCGCAAGGTCGTGAGTTCGGTTCCCGGTACCGGAGAAAAACCAAAAAAAAAAAAAAAAAATTAAATGTAATTTGCATAAAACAAAATAATAGCATTATAGGAGTAGAGTTTGATGAATTTTGCAGTCAAGATCAATTTAAACAAGTGTTATCAATTTTAATTTTACATATTGGAAGGCATGTAAAAGGAAGAAAAACTTCTCCTTGGGTTGTGAGTTGCTACATACCAGTCAAAATTAATTTCTTGTCAGATGAGAGTAATTTTAATCTGGTGGAAATTGGCAAGCATGAGCAAACACATCTACTAAAGACCAGGATTTGTGGTAAAAAATAAATAAAGAAAAGTCTAATGGTAATTTGTTACTGGCCAAATATCTCACCAGTGTGAAAAAGATTCTCCTGAAATATACAACACAGTATTGCATGTTGCTATCTGTTCTCATGAGAAACCACTTTGAAGATATCAATATGTAATACAACAAGCATTGTTAATTTCCTACCACTTTGTAACTCTGTATTGTCTGTACTGTTCTTTTGCTATTTTGCCGAAGGTTGTCTGTCTGTTAATATTTTCCTCCTTTTATTTTTAAAATAAAAAAATAAAGTGTTAAAATAAACTGGTATATGTAGTGAACTACTTGGAGCCATGTGGGTAAGCCATTAAATTTTGCTGACATTTACAATATGACAGCATCAGTAATGCTTTAGATCTAGAAAGTCCTGGAAAAACTCATGCCGAGAGAGGCATCGAATCTGAAAGGTGGTTGAATCATGGGGTAATGTACTCATAAGTGTGTTCAGCGTGTGTGAGAAGCTGCCTGCGTCTCAGGAGGTGGGACCTGGTCGGAAGCTCGTCCTAGGTGTGTGATCCTGAGGGTTGATCTCCCTCCCTGGCTCCTCCTTTCTCTCTGCTCTTTGCTTGCCATGAGAGGAATGACTTACCCTGTACCTATTTTTTTTCCCCTCACCTTACCATTTCTGCTTGGAGGCTGCTGACTGTGAGACATTTGGAAGTGAGTCATTTTTGTCTAAGGGATGAGGAAATATATCCATGCAACACCTATAATCATTCTCTAGGCAAAATAAAAATAAAATTAAAAAAAATCTTTACATACTTAGAGCTCTAGCTGATACAGTTCAACTGGATGTTACAAATGACATTCAGCATACAGATATACATAGTTTTAAATAATCATATATGAACATAGACTTTTTTTTACAGAGAGCCATTTGAAAATTTTAGGTAAAAAACCTAAGTAAACACAAATGGGAGTTGAGATTAAAAGATGTATGTAAAACAAATTTGTATGATTCATGAGAAAGAACTGATATTTTATTCACTCCAGTCACACCCCTTATCACAAGAGAGCTCCCCTCCATTCTCTCTGTCTTCTAAATTCCTTTCTTTCTCTCTTTGTATCTGTATCTCCCACAGCACAGCCCATACAATATAACTAATTACGCAGTTGTGCAAATATAACCAAGATTCTTAGAGAATAGTAACAAAGCAACAGTTATGTTGAAATATCTTTTATTTAACAATATATCTTTTAATATAAACTTGTGAGTCAAATTTTAGTATTTTACATAACATTACTAAAATATAATTTTCTACAAAGTGTTACAAAATGCAAGTGACACTGGAGTGAAAAAGTCTTGCTGAGTTTATTTTTTTGAGATCTTTTGTATATAGTTTTTGAAGACACTTAAAAGTTTCTTATATGAAGAAAATTAGGTATAATTTCCATAAAACAGAAAGTTGTAGCCAATAGGCTAAGAAGCTGTGGTAATTCCTCAGTAGAAGCCATAGGACCAGTGTCTTCTACAGCACAGGGGGCGGTAACAGCCATAGCCATAGCCACCATAGCCACCATAGCCATAGCCACAGCCTAGGCACTATAGCCATAGCCCAGGCCACCGTAGTAGTTGCCATAGTAGCACATATTGTCAGGAGTGGACTGTTCCACTGACTAGTGGAAGTAGGTATTTCCTGTGTGGATGTCACTCTCTGCTTATCACTGTCTCCTAAGAGCTTTTATACCTCCTTGGTGGTGGATGGGGAAAACCACAGGCAGTGTAGCATCATATTGTTTCACCAAAAAGCTTCATATAACTTCATACATATGTAGTTACTGAGAAAACTAGGCATTTGTAACTGAGATAATTTTGATCTTATGTCAGAATTCCATGATCAAATTATGGAATGGTGAAATGAATCTCTTGGTCTATTTTCAAAACTCAGGTTTATTCTATATTTAATTAATTATGAACCTATGACCTGATTACTTTTTGTTATGCAAATCATGAAAATTAGGTATCTCAGTTCTGTTTTGTTTCAATTCCTTTTTTTTTTTTTTTTTTTTTTTT